GGGCAAAGCATGAAGCTAACCAGCGCAAGGGCGTCCTATTGAGAAAGCTCTACAAGATCGAAATCGAGGAGCGAAATACTCAATGATGCAGACAGCCAGACTGTTTCTGCCAATGCCCCCCCCCCCCCAGCCCCTTCACCCGCAGAGTGTGACCCAGCCAGCAGCTGCATAGTAAAAAAAATTCAAACGAAAGAACAGTGGAACAAAAGGCGATGAAATGTCTCTAACCGCGAGTTTCATGCTGAAAAGCATTCACGAGGAGACTGGAGCTGCATGTGTACTCGGGTTTGTGTGGTCACTATACAAGTACATGTAGTTGAGTAGTAGAGACATTTAATAACTTTTTAGTCCACCGGATTTTCGTTTGTACTAGGCTCTTCACGGCGTGTATTGAACACCGTTACCTGTAGTCAAGGTTCTTCTAAATCTTTAGAATTAGTTCAACAGTCTTTCCGAAAATTCAAAATTTCACTCAAAAATACGAAGCAAATTAGTTGGCAAGTGGCAAGAAATTCTGGTGTGCAGATTAAGCTCCAATGGAGAGCCAAGGATTAAAGTTAACCCTCATTCCAAGTTGCATTTTTTCGCTACGCTCCCAGTATATTGGGGTCCATTCGGATCCAAACTGTATTTCGCTGAGTATCCATGAGCTCAGGTCGAATGTTAGAGTTTTTGTTCCTGCGGTTCTCTTCACGTATATTACTGCTTAAAACAAACTCCGTTCTTCAGCAGAAAGGCGGAGTATGACGTGAAGGAGACATGAAACCAGCAACTGAGTATTTCCGATCGTATCGCCGAAAAGTGGTGAAATGAGGAAAAACACGAATAATGCTGTGTTGGCATACACGGATGCTTTCTTACTTGACACACATACACGAACTGTGTTGTTTTGTGGAACGGGAACTAGATATTTTGGCAATTACTGTTCAAACAGGCTATACATATGGACACGGGTGCGGAGTCCATTCGCTCCCTGGACATGTATTTTTGATTCTCCAAAAAGTTTGAAGATCATACTGGGTAATATAGTGCCTGACGGAGCTCTGGTGGACTATTCTCTAGGCGGAAGCAAAAAATCTCCCCTGGACTTCCGACATATCGCAGATTGTAAAGAACTATGCCGTGTGCTCAACGATGGATGAAAACGTAATGTGCAAGGAAAGCCCTGACCTTGCACCTGCGGCGGCTGACTTGTCCTGGAGCAGCACCAGGGGCAGAAAGCTCGAGAAATCTAAGCAGTATCAAAGCTCCCTGGCTTTCGTCAAGGAGGTAGTGACATGTGTCAACGCGACACTGAATACGAGCATTCACAAAGTCGGTACCGAGCTGGCCCAAGAAAATGAGATGCCTGGATGCCTTCTCATTGGTGATGCAGGCGGGCATGTTGGTCAGCCAGATGATACATCCTGAAGGCTACATCTTATAGGTAGAAAAATTGTCCCGGGAGGCACCGGTTCGTTTTTCGCTTTGCGGTGTATGTTGTACACATTTTACCGAGGTTATCGTAGGCACTCCTTGTGCTGTTCAAGTGGAAGATGATTTCAGGGTTCTGATTTGGGCCCTAAATATCCATGTATGAATGAATCGTGGAGAGCTAAGCCATAGGTGATCAACAACATACCACCTATTGTACCTGACTACGATGTAGGGTTCTGGGGTCTAAACGGACCCCACGCATGATTTCCAAAATAAAATTGAAACCAATCAAGAACTTCTAACCCAGACAATTTGATTACGTCTCACATCTAGTTGTTGAGGAATACCTGTATTTTCAGAGAGATATCATGAAAGAAAATAAAGATATACCAAAAACCAGACCCCTGGGATCCGTTTGGGCCCCACAACCCGAAATGAGGGTTAAAAAACGAGAGGACCAGGTCGTTGAATGTCAGTATGACTACAGTCAGTTTGTGCTGATCGTTTCACATTTTGACTCAACAGTATTCTGCTTAGATTGATAAGTGTTGGACAAAACGGATAGCTTGGAAACTTATGGTTTTCTCTGTTTCAAATTCTTCTGTGTGCGTTAGTTTCTTTCCCGTATAGAAGCGTGTGGGTTGGTCTAGTGTGTTGAAAGCCTAATCACGTTCACCTGTGTGCGTGTATGTGTTTGTGTGTTTTTGTGGCTGCCAACAGTAGATTTGTGATAGTATTACCGGTGTACAGTGCGAATTTCCAACAATAAACATAATAGTTTTTCCTGTTATTACCTTAGTGCTAGGATTATCATTTTCATAGGTGTTGTTTCTTCTCACTCCATTTCTTTTCATTAGTATCTGTCTGGATTGTTTTTCATTAGTACAACGTAGCTTCCTCAGGAATAAACATAAACATTAACATAAACATTCATATAATCTACGTGGAGATAAAAGTTTAATAATAGCTATGAAAAGTATGAATGCCGCAGACATCACCACGCAACATGACAATTTGTTCAAGGTTTGGTTTTGTGTGTTTTCAAAATCGATTTTCACGTTCCGATCATCAGTGGAAATACGGAACTAAAGAGATCAACGGAAAAACAAAGGTTAAAAATCCAAAGAAGTGTGACACAATCATGACGGGTAACTTGTGGTAAGTATTACAAAAAGTGAGAACTAAAATAAAGAGTAAGTGTGACAAACGGGCATGAACAGTGCAGAAACAACTCATGAACACGGGGTGCAAACTCACGAAAATAACCTAAGTGCTAAAACATGTTCTTTTTGCTTACACAAATCGGGCTTATGTCCTTTCTAGATGTGCGTGTGGAGAAGTCAAACGATGAAATTGTAACGTCAATATACAGGAAACCAACATATACCGGACAATATATCGTGTTTGACTCGTATTGTTCGTACCTGTATAAGGTCAACCTGGTGAAGAATCTGGTGGATAGAGCGCGGCGAATCTGTTCCCCCTCTCGACTCAAGGATGAGCTAGGTTTTCTGAAATCTGTGTTTCTCAAAAATGGTTACCCGGAGGAACTGCTAAACAAGCTACTAAAATCAGCATCAAAACCAAAGGTCGTCATCATAGGTCCAAGTCGTTGCCCAGTCTACCTTTCCTTACCTTGGAAAGGAGAGGCATCACAGACATTGTGCCGCACAATCAAACCGCTAGTTACACAAACATACTTTGCGGCGCACTTCGTCCCTGTGGTCACTACGATACGTGCGTTCACGGTGAGGAAGGATGTCCTACCATCCCACCTATTGAGCCACTTGGTCCACCAATTTGAGTGCCGGAATTGTGATAGCCGGTACGTTGGTAGGACCCTTCAACACCTGAGCGCACGTATCAAGCAGCATGTACCACTTCACATGCTGCCGGACGCAGCAAAAGCGAAGCGCCCGAAGCGGGGAAGACCACGCAAGAACCCGCTCCCTCTACCACCGACACAACCAGAGCAAGTCGAACACACGGTGCAGAGGAAGAGTGGTGGATCACTAAGCAAACCGAATGTGCCTTCTCCACCGTTGCCCTTGCCGCCACCGGAGCCACAACCAATGCCGTTGGTGGCTGGGGTTGGGGAGGAGTCGGCAACAACGACAGTACCGCCAATCACAGAAATTGATCCCATTTCTTTGACACAGTATCCGGCTGTGCGGACACCGCAGCACCCTCCAGCGCTTGATCCGTGTGTCCAGAGACCACGGAGGTCAACCGCCAATTATTCAACCGAATTATATGCTAGGAATGGCCAAGGCCCACGCGGAGCATCGAAGGAGACCGGAAGCCGGGGGCAAAACGGAACACAATATCGGGACGTAGATGAGGTAAGGACAGTGGCACGGGAAAGACGTAGGAAGGAGAACATGGATGGTATCAGACGACTGGCTGGTGGTGAATATGAGTTGGGTGATGATGCGGCGGATGACGAGAATACAGATGACGACGAGGCGGATGACGGCGAGGATACAGACGACGACGAAGCGGGTGATGACGAGGCGGCGGATGAAGACGAGGCGGATGACGATGAGACGGCTGGTGGTGATGGTGATAAAACGGACGAGGAGGAGTCAGGTGGCAGGGAAGGTGATGGAGCTGATGAGGGTGAAATTCGTAAGAAGTCAGCTGTGTACTTGCATTTGTTATCTCGTCCCGATTGTTTGAGTGTGTATGATGATTCCCACTTCTCTGTACTGTGTCGTGCCCGTTATGTCCAGCAGTTGAAGGTCCTTGAAGCTGTTTGTATTCGTACGCATAAGCCCGATTTGTGTAAGGAAAAAGAACATGTTTTAGCACTTAGGTTATTTTCTTGAGTTTGCACCCCGTGTTCATGAGTTGTTTCTGCACTGTTCATGCCCGTTTGTCACACTTACTCTTTATTTTAGTTCTCACTTTTTGTAATACTTACCACAAGTTACCCGTCATGATTGTGTCACACTTCTTTGGATTTTTAACCTTTGTTTTTCCGTTGATCTCTTTAGTTCCGTATTTCCACTGATGATCGGAACGTGAAAATCGATTTTGGAAACACACAAAACCAAACCTTGAACAAATTGTCATGTTGCGTGGTGATGTCTGCGGCATTCATACTTTTCATAGCTAATATAAACATTCATATGTGCTATTTGCTACGAGTGTGTGTTAGATTGTAACAAAGGTAATAATAGAATCGGAAGTGGGATACAGGGCAGCTCAGCTTTGTGCTAGGTTGTGCACGTCTGACTGTTCAAAATCTGGTTTAGTTGGTGTACTCGATTGCATAACTTGTGGCCACAATTTCCACGTTCCAATGTAACATATTTGGGATTTGAATTACAGAATGAATTGGAACAATGTAATTTTTTTCGGAGACGACAAGAGTACAGCATGATGAGATTGGTGAAGCATGTGTGGTGACAGGGTTAAACTGTACCCTGAAGTACGAACTTTGAAATGTACACTGTGTTCAAAAACATGGCATTGACTGGTGGCCAACCCACTCCGTTCACACTTCTCTCCCTCAATTCTCAGCTCCTCCAAATATCATAAATCTTTTTTAGTTATTGCTATAGTTTCACCTGAAATACCCTTTCAAAAAAAACCAACCAACTTCTTTTCGAAGCAAATGAAACAATTTCAAATACAGGCAAAAGAGGTAGTAAAATGTACTAAATCAGCAGAAACGTATCAGACTTACATTGCATCTGTGTATCGTTAGCACATATGAGGTTGCAAGTGTCCAGGGAAAGACCATCATGGATGTATTGGAATCGGAGAAAGCAACGTCTAGGCTGTTTCGTGTTTATCTGTTACTGTACTTGAAATAATAGGAAGGTGTATTTTGTTATTGCCGGTGTTCGTTGTCCATTCCCAGAATCACTTTGAGCAGTATTCTAAACCATAGTATCTTCCTTCAAGGTATTATCCTGACCTGAGTCTTCCGACGCCAGGTGCGTGCCTTCTGCTGTCTCCAGCGGTGCCTCATCGTCATGAACAATGTACGATGAGCCTTCATGAGTTGTATTGGGCAGTTCCCCAATGCACTCATCATATTATGCTGAAAATGACTGATCAGGATCTGTAAGGCGTGTGTTCTCAGACATACTCTGTACACCCTCGCGTGACACTCGCTGAACAGTATCATATGCGGAAATGCTGAATTCGATATCATAGGAAATCAGGACGACTGCATTGTCATGTGCACTTCTGTTACTTGATGTCTGCATTGCACCAGGTATCTGTTTGCAATCCGCCTTTCCGATGTTGTCATAGAGGTTTGCATCAGCTTCCTGTGTTGCGTCGCCCGATGTAGTCAGGATGGGCACCTTGATCACATTGTCATACTCAGTCTCCATCGCGCTGGTGCTGAAGTCGTCTTCCCTACCCAAAGAAATGCGCTTCATGTTGATCTACGTGAGACAGAGGTCAGAAGATATAAAGACGATACAAACAGTTTGAAATAAGTAGAGGAGCCATCATCCAAAACAACCAAAGTTCCAAAAGCTTTAATGACGCGTGCGTAGTTTTTGGATCATCCTTACGATGGGCTTCTTTGTGAGCGGATCTCTCTTGAGCACATCGTAATTGCTACTTGTAAGACGTTGAGAGCCCAATGTCGAATAATGCTCATCCAAATCAGGGATGGAAGTCTGCAGGAAATCGAGCAAGATGGAAATGCATGCTTAGTGGATTTCGGAATTGATTGGCCTGTTGCTAGAATTAGCGGCGATAGCACATGATGGAGTCCGGCATGGTAGCACCGCATGCTGTATCCACGAGCAAGTGTTTGCATGTGCGTGTGTGGATCTCAGTCTATTTCATTCATTCCGCCCGCTTTCACTATCGTCGCGGCATGAACCAATCAGTGGGTTCACACATACAGCACACTAGGATAGTAGTGGATGGTGTGCGTGTGTGTTCTGCTTCTGGGTGAGTGTATGTATTGGATATATGGGCGGACACATTACTGAAGAGTGGATACTCCTACAAGTAAGAAATAACCGGAGGCGTCACCTTGAAATCCTCCATTGGAGAATCTGTAGGCGGCAGAGGGTCATCATATATGGCCCGTTGGCAGTCGGTAGGTGGAAGAGGGTCCTCATATATACCATTCATGTTTTCAATAGTGCCTGACGATGAACCTACATTCTGATAACGACCATAAACATTCAAGTACAATCATTCATGTTTCTTTTAAACATAGGAAAAATGCGCAGTGCTCCAGCAATATTGCGGGTTCGGCAGCTGCTCTCCGCTGGCGCAATACCCATGTTCTGTCAAATACACACAATATCAGAGATTCTACACCATCAAAGCTACTGCAGTGTAGTTCAGGGCAACGCACAGCGACCGTAGATATGGATTACAATTTGTTCACAGTGTTTCTGTATCACGTTTATTGAAAGATAGGAGGAGAGAGTAAGTAAACATAAAGTCTTCAAACCGGCCATCATCATGGCTATAGTGCACCATGACTATCTACCACTATTCAAAGAAGCAAATTGTTACTAGGACAATGAACCAGTTATACCTCTATGGCTCTGGAAACTATGGCAATTACCGTGAGACTTACAATTGGCAATTCATACGAAGTATCCTCAGTCTGCATCATCTTATTGCTCCCATTGGCATGTCCTTCATCGTCAATGAGGTCTGCTGTTGAGTATGGGGATATATCTGTTTGCAAGGAGACCTGGAATTATGCATGCAAAAGTGTATGATTGTTAGGAAGACGTGTCGGACAAAATATTTCCACGAAGACAATTCACCCGTGACCGACCGCGAAGGCTTGGAAGTATACTCGCGACGACTATCGAAATGCTATTATTGAACAACCTGAAGAGCGGCCTTCTTTTCCAAGACCTTCCGTGATCATAATTACATGTATAATGATATGCAGAGCAGAAAGATTCCAGCTAATCGATCCCAAGACTCCTTAGATACCTACTGCTTGAAAGTAGTCTAAAAGGGACAACGCATCACTTGTGAAGATCTTGCGCGAAAGATACTGCCAAGCAGAATGTTATCATTTTCACAATCCAGATATGGATTGTGTATGCGTGATTAATATAATATTATTCGACCTTACAGTGAGAACTAATGTTTCGTACAATAGATATCCACATAAAAATGAGTGCTCCTGCTTGTCTTGAAGAAAAGGTATGATCATTAATCTCATTGGTAATTTCTTACGTCGTAAAGTGGTGCTGCGTGATCCCAGTTCTCTTCCATGGTCTATTCTCCTGTCAGCACGTCCATTACCACTAAAACATAGCGGGGTGACAATTCCCGTTTACCACACAAACAGCATCATAGTTTAGGTCTTCAAAGAGAAATTCGAGCGTCTTAAACGTCATGCAAGGACTATTATGTATAACGAGGCACAGCGATTGCAATTGTATAGTCTCCAAAAAGGTCTTTGTCCGATTATTGCATGATTATCAACTTTTAATATACCTAGTGCTCTATTTAAACTGAATGGTAATCGGAAAACCACGGTTCCCCGAGACGAGTGGCTTCAAGCCGTCACACGAACTAGCATACACTGCATTTTGGCCAGGCTGCAACTGCCCTATTCGACTAGAGACGTCGCCGAGGCATAGTGGGAATGGGGCGCCGGTAGACTAAACGAGTACACAGAATGATAACACAGCTTGTAACTACAAATCAGTTCCACATTTGTCCTCTTACATATTCCTGGCGTTGTTTGCTTTCTCTTGATGTGATTGCGACGAGCCAATAGAACCGCAACAGTGGCCAAGAGCATAGCTAGGGTCCCAATACTCACAGCCATTATCAGTTTCGTTCGCTGTGTAGTGTTGATGGCAGGAGCAGTAGATCCTTTGTAAGCTGTTGCTGAATCCGTTGGAAATACAGTTGAATTTTTCCTCGTGGGTGGTTCATTGTCTGTTTGGTTAGATGTGGTATAGTAGGCTGTAGAAAAAGAATCATTGGCGGGTACGCTCCAAGAGGAGGATGCATGCATTTCGCCAGTGCCGTCGCCTGAAGTGGTATGATGACTGTTGTTTCTCGATATTGGAGGAGTTGAAACACTCAATGCAGTAGAGGATGGAGAGAATTCATTATAATTATTTTGAGCTGTACAGTACACATGGAAGGTGGAGACATGCGTACGGCTGGACTGGGCAATGGACGAATTCGGTGTAGAACAGTAAGCCATTGGGCACAGAAACAGTTTTACGAACACTTCCCGAAGAGAACACAATGCATGTATACAGGTACCCGTCCCCGGCCCGCCGCTGGACCAATGGTAACTTGCTACAATATTAATGAAGGGCAACCTAGGTTCGATTTTTAGGACAGACAGTGCGTTCTGTCATTTTCTCAAGCTGGGAAAAAGTAATGCTGCAAAATAGAATAATATGTCTTCCACTAATCCACTTACTCTCACACACCAGGTGATGGTACTTGGTACCATCTGTGTTGCTAATGCCGATAACCTCTCCAGCTATATTGCATAGTCCTGCCTGAGAGAGGAATGGTCCAAAGTACCTGATGCATATGAATGGTTCGTTCTCGATTTCAGAGGGTAGCTGATCGAGCAGGTTGATGATGCAGGGGACTAAGAGTGAAGCGGTATCGATGACGGAACCGTTCATACTTTGGCAAATGCTTTCCATGTTGACTACCTGAACCTTTTCTGGGGAGAATACGTACCATGTAGTTGTGTTCATGCAGTTGATCTGCGCTGCTGGACTGAAACCTACAGCACGATCATAGGGGAGATGAAAACATCATTGACCATATATCGCCAATGATTTGTGTAAATATTTCACGATTTTCAGCGGAGGTTGACAAACTTCAATTAGATGAACACAACTTCGAATTGACAGGTCAAAACCAGCACAAATGAAATACATTATAATGGATTGGCGATGTCTACAACAGCCGTGGTTACTATATTTTCTCTGTTTGATATCAGTCTAATGCAGAAGTGTTCTGGATTCATGCCTTAAACCAGCGAATCCTGAAGATGGGCCTTGCCCGAAAATTCGAATAATTTTAGTGATTGGTGTAGCCCCGAGACCGTTTGGAGAGTGAAGATGTATGAATTCAGAGAATGTAATAAAGAAACTTGGAATGATCGTTGATCTATTATTGTATTTATTCGCACGATATTGATGAATGTTAAAGTGAGTCCTGTGGTTGGACGCCGCTGGTGAAATCGAAATCAACCAAGAATGCGGTATTCGGGGCCAGCACTAAATTACAGTGCTGCCAGACCTTGTCGGCCTCCGTGCCAGAAAAATGGAGACGAGCAGATACCACAATGATGCAAGAGAAGCGACGCGTATATGGTAGGAAATTGACGATCAAATGGCATGTATTTCCCAGCACTACAAATAAGTAAATAATCTTAACCGATCACCTCTCCAAACCGCGCTCTTGGCCCGCATTCACCACATCACTCCATAGCGAGGAAGTTCGTTCTTGGGTAGATGTTGACGAACTTCCTCGCAATGGAGTGATGTGGTGCATGTGGGCTAAGAGCGCGATGTAGAGAGGTGGACGGTTAAGATCATAAATGGCCTAGTTTGTTGCTACTTCTGAGTTACATATAAGTAGAAATACTCAATCTGCGGACAGAATGCTGTTTCGTTCTTTGTGAACTCATCGGCGCAGCACAGAGGAAATGAGGCCGAACTTGATAGCAATGGAAATACAAATTTCCAATCAGGCCCGAACGTACCTTGCCAGAGTGCTCAAACTGACAAGTCAGTGAGCTCTGCGTAATGCAAACAGCAAAGGCACTGCCCCACATGAGAGTGCTCAACTACTACAAGAGCAGGAGCGAAAATACTCAATCTGCGGACAGCATGCTGTTTTGTTATTTGTGAACTCATCAGCGCAGCACAGAAGAAATGAGGCCGAACCTGATAGAAATGGAAATAAAATAAGTTTCAAACCATTTCAATATTCCTCTACTGATCGCTTCTTTGCGCTTTTTAGTCGTCTAGCCACCTCGGCAGGCATTACCCACAATAAAAAATTTCAACAACGAAAGGTATCGAGTACTGATACTAAAATTACTCCTGAAAACTGTTTCACCTACAAAAAAGGCACATCCAAGAATGAGATACTGAATAGGGAAATCAGATGGCCATGGTCAGGTATTTTATACTGTTGACAATAGACGCCATAGCTACAAACACAATACAACACAGTATGCAGATCCTATGAATAGAGAGAGTTGCATACCATGTCGCCCTTACCTTGAGCAACATCGGTGAAAAGAGATATAAAGAGCAGAAAAGCTGCTAGGATTCTTGTCTTCCTGGTACAATCTTGTTTCACCTCCATGACTGTACACCTCAAGAACACAATGTAAACGAGTATTGTGTTGCCAAGTAAGTGAGAATCCAATATTGTATCAATTGCTGACTTCTAGTAAAGTGAAAAAGCTAAGGAAATGCGTTGAATTTTTGTTCTCTTCGATTACTGGCGGCCACCACACATTTTTGTTCGTTGACAACAACAATCAACAGAGTCGGTTCAAGAGACTGTGCTGCAAACAAGAGTCTGAGAGCATCTTGTTAAATCCAGATGTGTTTTCTACGTTTCCTGTTCCAGGTCTACCCGCATCTTTAGAAGACCATTCCGGGGTTTTCAAATTGTTTGTATTGTCAGGAGTATTATCCACTATCCAGACGTGCATTTACCCGTTTCAGGTGTCATGGGATATTTGATGGTAGTCTACTAATAATGTTTGTCTTGTATCCGATGTCGTACAAACGAGGGTTGACATGACACCTAGAAGGCAAATGTAAGGAGTGAAAAGCAACGAACTGTTGTTGAGACCGAGCCATCTCGTCTACTAGAAACTAGACAGTTCCGTCCTGCCGCATGCGATCAGTGAGCGTGCACGTGAATCTGGTGCGCCTCTACTGGAGGACTTGTCACAGCAGCGGATGTGGGACCGTGTGTGGAGAAATTCAACTTGCCATATACGCGTATCATCTCGCGAATTCCTCAAAGTTCGATATTGCAGACCTGCCAATCTCAATTCGCACGTGGTAGGGAGATCTCCCTTCAAGTCTTACTGCCTGTAGTAGGGAGATTGTTTGCCTTAAACATGTAGTGGCGCATTGGCATGATTTGCTAGCATGTTGATCATGCATAGGAAACCAGTGCCAGTCAACCTAACAAATGCAGCACCGTTGTACATGAATGTTTAGCATATTGACAGGAAATCCCAAACATCAACGAATTCGGGAGGTGTCCCGTGTGATAGGAATATTTGGCATCTCTGTAAATGGTTTTGAACTGTATGTACAGGCCTGCACACAAGTACGGTATGTCGCTATTGACGAAATAATGATCTTTTGACTAGCCCAAGCGAGTTTAGAGGTTATTAAGTACTAGTACAACAGTTCGAAAATAATTGTTGCCTGATAATTGGTAAATAAACTCGGCAACAAACGATAGCCCTGTTCCATTAGTGACTTGTGCCACTTGCCTCTGCCCTTACCGTATCAACAGTTTTGCAAGAAATTATATATTGAACTTGTGATTTTGTCAAAGAGACATTTAGGTGAGCGCTACAGGACGGTTGAGCTCATGTTTGGCTCTTCCTGCTCTTTCCCGCCCGACTCCCGATTTCACGGCCACCTAGACGCACCAACGGTGGGTAGGGAGCGAGAGAGAGAGATCCAACATATATTGCATATATAGAGAGTGATAGAGGAACGGAGAGAGAGAGGGAAAGTGAGAGAGGAAGAGAGAGAGAGAGAGAGTAAGAGAGAGATAATGTTTTGTTCTAGCTTGTCTGTGCACATACATACCATTGTAAAGACTAGTGTCTAGTAACGAATCAGTGCAGCTGGTCCACGATCTGGAATACGCTCTCTGCTGTCTTGGTGAAAACCGTCAGTGGAGTTTGGGGGCTCGTTTAAAGCGCCACAGATTTGCGGAACCTTGCACAATAACTCCGTTTATGCCAGACAATTGCACGACGAATTTCACGATTTTTCACACAATTCTATGTAGGCCAAACAATTCATATTGGGTGCCGGGCATCAGCTTTGCTCATTGTTCCTTCATTTCGTGTCATTCCCCTCCCCTCCCGTGAAAAAAATAGTTTTACTGTCTCTGTAATTAGTGAGTACTCTAGTCAGTCAACCAGTGAGGTGAAGTGACCAATGGAGAACAAGCAGAACATATCGGGGAAATTGTCACAGCACATTATTGAACTACATGCACTAACGAATGTGATGAAAGTATGTGACAAATGGCAAATCGAGAAGAGACATGTGAGAGAAAAGAGGATAGAGTGAACGCTGTTAGTTGTTTATTCCACATGCTCAAGAGGCTGGTTTGCGACTATGATTGCCGAATGATGTCCAAAACAGGACCAATAAGCTCACTACATTTTATCTATGCTCCGAGTCAATGAGCACTGTGCGACATTGCTGCAGAATGAAATTGGATCACTTCAGTCAGCTTTGGGTGGTGTACAAGTGAAAGTCCAAGTTTTGGCAGGAATAGAACTGAACGGTGCCTGGCGCGCTGGTGCCCTTGACTCACTCGATTGGAATTCCTTCAATTGCATTGCATATACAATCGGTGTTGTTCGACAAAAATCGAATTGAATTGTTGCAGACGTCTCCGCGTTTTCACAGCCAAGCAAGCTTAGCTAGCCCTCGCATGATCTATAAGACTGAATGCGCAATAAAGGAAGGTTAAACACATATGCAGAACAAATATTTTGGGCATTATCTACTCGATATTACAGAGGATGGTATTTAAAAAATTGCATGCACTGTGTTTAGGGATTGTTAAAACTCTATTAATGCAACATATTCAAATTGGACAGTGAGAGGATATAAAATCAAACGCCCGTCACATCAGTACATCGTCAGGTATACGTGTTCATGTTCTTTAGTTGCTGGCACCTCACAGGCATCATTAGAAGTATGGTGTGTTTTCCAATCTACCGATTCATAATCTTTTGCGGCCGTGTTGATCTCTTCATAGATCGCAGTGGGGCTCACACTGTCGCCAGCATTCGTACTGCACCCGACTCCGTATGCTGAGTTTGCCGTTAGTTCCGCACGCCTGGTGGACGCCTGACGTCCTGTGTTCTCCATAACAGCACCTGTTTGCGTGGTCGGTTTGGCAGAATTCTGACGGTGATGGAAACGAAGAGTTATGATGATTAGCAGGGCCAGGCCAACTACTCCAAAGCATCCGGCGCCTATAGCGCCAGCAACGGTCGCACTCACCCCTGTAGCGATATCAAGGCCAACAGAAACACAACAGAAGGCGCGTTACGACAGAATTTTGGGTACCTGGCCTTGCAAGCTCCGCCTAATGCTATCTCGACGTGCGCGGGTTGGGTGCTTTGGCCCACAATCACTGTGATAAAAAAATGAAGCATCACGGTTGCCGTCAGGCTTATTTAGAGTGACCTTGTCTCCCGATCTGGACAACGTACACTCCATTGAAGCATATCAATTACGAATATATGGTCTTGTTTCTAGTTGCTGTCTGATGATCGGTTAAAACCGTGAAACTCAGAGATACAGCAGAAACGCGTTTGATTCCTCTGAAGTGTGTGGTCTTTTTCTATTAATAATTTGAGCTGTGATTTCACACAAACATTCCAACACGTTCGATAAGGGCTAACCAGTTACTCTCTTTGGCTCAGAGCTCTAAGCATGAGCAGGCACACACGCACGCGCGCACACAAATTCACACCCGTATGGAGAATTTTGGAGCAGTATGTTCCTTTGGAACCTGTTGGTATAGTTCTCAAGTTTACATTGATCTTTCACTGTCCGTATTTCAAACACGAAGCAGTCGAAATGCATATATTCACGAAAGTGCGAAGTAAAACAAAAAACCAACCAATCAACCACTTATGAAACTGGTATGACTGGACTACAAAGTCATTGGTTGTTTCCTGTGCTTTCGTCACGGAAAATTGATTAAGGATGTGGCAGGTAAAGCCCTAGTGTGAGATTTCCTCAGTTTCCATCCTGTTTCAAGCCCTGTAAGATGCCGCATTCAGGAAAGCCACCATTTATACGCTACAGACAATTCGAAAATAACCAAATGCTCATGATCTATAGCTCATTAAGAGATCTACCACTCACCGGTTGACGACTGCTCTACTGGCGGTGATGGCGTTGATGAATCTATTTGAAGTGATGTTGTTTCTTCCGTTAGCGACTTCATTGATTGGCCGGATACGTGAACTATGCGGTCGGTAAGCGCTGATGGTGAGATCGTCTCACTTAGACCTGTTGGAATTCTGCCTTCTGTATTTGACCTTCCGGAGGCCTTAGCACCAACGCCATCCCATGCAGTTGATGTGTTTCGCCGGAAGTGGACTTTAGCCACATTGGGGGTAGTGGTCGGATCCATCGAGGCAACGTAGGCTTGATAGACCTGTTTTTGTTCAGCTACACAGGGACGTCAAAACCAAAAAAACACATCATAACGTGTCCATGTGAAGGGTACAAACTTTAGGCTATATACACACGTAGTTATGTACACAAAGTAAGTGTGAGATCAGCCTGTTCACTGGCACCATTTAAAAATGCTTTCTACGACCGCTTACGCCTGGATGACACAGATGCTCGGTATTCGCTTTTTGCGGTTTTCAGAACTGATGGTCTTACAGATGAAAATTATTATAATTTTCACCAGAACATCCCAGAGTGTCAAGCAATCCATATTGCACCAAAGGTCTGAGTGCAAAACGTCTCTTCTGCAACAAAGGGTAACCTTAATAACATCCAAAGAAGAGGAAACGTCCTGTCAGGCAGTCCCAGAATTTCGTCTAGCCGACTTTTCGGTCGGCTAAGAGAATGCCCCAGTTGGGCTATAATGTGCGCTACATCGGAATTCGCCTCAATGCAGTGCTTCAAATCACCCTTCGCAATTCACAATAAAGCGCGATGTTTAATAATTATCACTTCGGCGACGTGATGAGCGATGTTTTCAAGAGTATTTCTGCAAAATGTGCTTTGCAGGTTGTCGCAGGGCCGTCGCAGGTCGCATGGCGGAAAATTGAACCCAATTCAACTTCTGTTAGGAGCGATGCGCATGACTGCTCACACGGCAGGCCTACAGTAAAGCTCGATTAGGGTTTTTGGACTGCGCATGCCCTGCAGGATGTCGCTGCGATGTACCGTGCATTGAGCATGGAACACTCTTCGCTTGGCCCGAAAAAAACTTTCACTCGACGCTCATCGCATTGCAGAAATGTTGTTGTGCACCCAGTTTAAGGTACACTAATATGCACCCTGTAGAGGCACTTACATGTGCGTTGCAGAGGCACACGAAATCGATTCTCTACGAATGCAGTGCGAAATTTGTGCATTCGATAAAAATATCCTCAATTTCATCAACTCAACACTTTAAGACCAATTTTTCTTCAGGTCGAGAATGCTGCCGCGTAACTTTGCCAATGGGATGCCAATGGGATGCCAATGGGACGCATGATTGATAAAATAATGTTCTAGCCAAAGGCTGGTAATTATGTCACATGGTTGATCGGAAAAGTGTTATCTGAAATCGTTGTGAAGTGGAAATTCTTAGGAGAGTGGGCAAAAATGCAAGAGAAAGAATCGGGTGCTCGCTAGGATAACACAATAGTATGTTCACGTTGTCCTGAAGGACAAAATACCCGTTCAAGCTCTACCAGCATTACTTTGTGGAATGATCGTGACACTAAATATCTCCTTTTTCTACGTGTATATAATTATACATATACATACTTGCGATACTTCTGACACAGTCCGGTTGCATTATCACCAGAACAAGGAACACTATCCCTAGGCGTTTGGCCACCGGTCTATCCATGTTGACTTCGCTTCAGTTACAAAATCGATTCCGTCTGAGCAGTAACTTAGTTCCAACATTCGAATGCGGATCAAGCGAATGACTGGAAAAATTGTTCTTGGGACTAAAGAAGTAAGGTTAAGTAAGGAACTTGTCGTTTGGCATAATGCAGTTGGCACACGAGCGGGCCCGCCTGACATCCAGGAGACGTGACACGTTAGGTCTCTCCACGCGCCTGAATGTTACCTTGTCCGCAGGTATGAACCTGGAAGTCTATTCATTCTGAACATGTGAACGAGTTACAGCGTATGAACTACACTGAATGTGTGTTTAATGCATAAATTTGTCAGACGTTCACGAAAACTCCCACGAGTGACAAACGAAAAAACACCTGTTTGATATGGCGATCCGTTGACTTCCCTATTATGCATTGCATTCTCCGTATGCAGTTGTGTCTTCAACTTCATTCTCCGTATGCAGTTGTGTCTTCAACTTCATTCTCCGTATGTTATCAATATGTAAGACTATGACAGTCACGTCCCAGACAGATGACAAGTCATGGTCACCAAAGTAAGTGATGCATTCAAACTCACGCACACACGGCTCACAGGTTGCCTCTTGTCAAGAGTCTGTTCTTATGCTTAACCAGTCACAGAGTGCCGCGACTTGCATGTATTTAACCTCTTCATCCGCAGAGTGTGGCCCTGCTAGCATGCTAGCAGCTGCATTGAGTGCGTGCGTATAATACGCACGCATTTATGAAGTGAAAGTACTGAGTGTTCAGTACGTCTGTCCACACAAAGCGAATTGTTTTCTCCCAAATGTGGACAAATTTGGAATGCAAAGATTATAGAATAAGTTGAAACGAATATACTGTGGAATAAAAACCGATGAAATGTCTCTAATCGCTAGTTTCATGCTGAAGAAACATTCATGAGGAGACTGGAGCTACAATCATGACATATATTCGGGTCTGTGTGGTCATTATAAATGTAAGGAAGTAGCAGAGAATACGTGTCTTAGAACACGGAGGCTCCACTGCAGCCATTTCATATCATGATTAGTCACCACCACTATACAAAGGTCGTTGACGCTGCAAATTTTGCAGCGTCAACGACCTTTGTGTAGTGGCGGTGACCGATCATAATATGAGTAGTAGAGACATTTAATAACTTTTTAGTCCACCGGATTTTCATTTGTACTAAGCTCTTCACGGCGTGTATTGAACACCGTTACCTGTAGTCAAGGTTCTTCTAAATCTTTAGAATTAGTTCAATAGTCTTTCCGAAATTTCAAAGGATCACGCAAAATACGATGTAAATTGGAGGTGCAGATGACACTGGGATGGAGAGCCAAGGATTAAAATTAAAAAAGAGATGACAAAGTCGTCAAATGTCTGTATCACGTCAGTCAGTTTTGTGCCGATTTTTACACACTTTGACTCAACACTTTCCAGTTTAGAATCGTTAGTGTTGGACAAAGCGGATAACTTGTAAACTTATGGTCCTCTCTTTTTCAAATACGTCTATGTGCGCTATCTTCTTCCCTGTGTAGAAGCGTGTGGGTTGGTCTCATGTGTTGAAAGCCTAGTGATGTTGACCTGTGTGTGTGTGTGTGTGTGTGTGTTCGTGTTTGTGTGTGTTTGTGGTTGTGTGTGTTTTTTGTGGCTGGCAACAGTAGATTTGTGATAGTATTACCAGTGTACATAAAGTGTTCATAAACATTTATGTGTGGAAGGTGCTACACGTCTGTGGTGGATAGTAACAAAGGTAATAAGAGAATTGGAAGTGGGATACAGGGGCAGCTGGAATCAAGAGCAAACACCAAACATGAAAGGTGGTCGCACAATGGACAGTCTGCTTCCTATCTTTCTCCCAAAGAAGTATAGATCGGAACCGTCCAAGATGCACCACAGCTACGTAAGCATCCGCAGAGAATGTGTAGCGATGTTACATAACATTATCGCATCATTCGTGGCATACAAGGAAAAATCGGGAAGTCAATGGCTTGTCATGACATATGCGTCTTAATTTGTCACTCAGCACTCAGGTTTTCAGGAATTCCTCAACCTCGCAACAACCAACTCCGGATAACGATCATTGACAGATGCATGACCCCGGATGATTTGTTTATATGGGCAATATGCGAATTCTTCATGTTATTATTACTCCGTTTTTACACGACACTCAGCTTTTCAAACGACTAGTGTACGCATGAGACACAATCATGGATGTTAAACTCGTTCCCTGCATCAGACTGAAAATGAATGGAACTCCAGTTACATGCCTGCGTATGAGACAACATTCCTGCAAGCGGAGAAAAATGGCCAAGCCTGCTAGATATCACACACTAACACACACACACACACACACACACACACACTAACACACACACACACGGACACACCCACACGCATACACACACGCACATCCCCACACACACACTCACACACACACACACACACACACACACACACTCAGACTAAGACATGCCCATCCATCGCGGAAGCGATGATTGCGAACAGCTGTGTTAGACATAGCAATTATGCTGGGATTACGCCATTCAACACTTTGCAAGGCTGATGAACACCCACCCACACCCACACACATACACGCACATACACGTACCCACACACATACACACACACCTCCCCCCACACACACACATACATGTACACTTACGGACACACATCATGTTATGAGTAAGCTCCATTGTGCTGGACATATTGTTGCTTTCTAAACTCTTAAGCCAAGGGAACCAAGAGATTCAAGTCATTTATTGCACCACGTTTGATCGTTTCGTTGAATAAAATTACAGTTCAGGAAGAATTGATTTTGTCTTGTTAGTGTATTGTAACTGAAGGATAATAAACATGAAAGAACGGTTGAGGGCACGCCTACGGATGGTGTTCTTGGCCTTGGTGATGCTGGACCCGTGCTTTGTCAGGATTATCCCAGGTATGTAGACGAAGCTGATATTTAGTTTGCCGATCACTCGGATATAGTGTTAGCGACGCATGAGACAATTTCATTTTGTTTGAGGGGAAGGTGCAAACCGTAAAGGTCTGAAGAAATAATAATAATTATTGACTTTCACCGCCAGGAATCGAACCAGAGACCCTCGCTTCCCCTCGCGACCCTTATCCATCCGACAAAATCGCTGAGCAGGCCAAAATTGCAATTTCACGACACATGTTTACCTTCAAATTATCATAACTTTAGTCTCCATTGGCCGAATTCCATGATCGTGCGCTTCCTGGTAAGGACCTTCCGCGACGAATGCACAGAGGCCACATTCGACATCTATAAAGGCACAAGTCGAGCTTGCCAAAATTGCCAAACTTGCCCCAGCGCCAGATCTGCGGGCAGTATCCAAAATTGTCTCGCCATTTCACTCTCCTCCATCGCTGGACTTTGAATTTTTGTATAAAGAACATTTATTTGGTTTTTACGTCATGAGCATGTGCTTGGTGACGTAACTGGCATGCAAAAAAAAAATCTGACTTTGAAATATTCCCGAGCGCAGAAAATTCGGAATTGCCGTGATTTTACGTTCGGTGGACAATATCGTTGCAGGTGAGCATTGTAGCTCTTCGGTGATTCTTTGAGACAATAGCCTGGTGTTTTCTAATGGCGAGAGACCCTTCGATCATGGAATTTGGTCAAGAAATGAATGAGATATGATGGATTTACTGATCGACCGATAGTCGTAGAATTTTTACTGGTCGGACGGATGAGGGTTTTAAGGCCAGATTTGCTCGATCACTAAGCTATGCTGCAGTCGTCATCCAAGCCGCGACCATTACACATTATCTTTAGACTTAGAAAAAGTTACATTACTCTCCCGACTGAATCTTCCGCAGGGTTGACTTGATATTTGACTGACCCAAAACTGCCATGCAGAGCGCACACGATGAGGTTCATCCCCATGGCGATGCTCTATCCTTTCCGCCTGATTCAGAGAATTGCCATCTCTTTCCCTAGATTCTCCCGTGTCTTTACGCGTTTTGCCTGAGTGTGGACTAAAGTGTAAAATTAATTCACATATAAGCCCATGGGGAGTCGACAAGAAGACAAAAATGTATAAATGGCAATAAATAAGATAAGCTGAGGGTTTGTTGAGAGTCATCATGCCTATACACACCATCAAGAAACAGTTTGTGAGTTCTAAGAACGTTTTCTTGCGACGATCCTCCGTTGCATCATCGAGTCTTTTTTAGTGGTAAACACAGACTGTGTATGTGGTGCGTGTGTGTGTAAGAATATATGTGCTTGCGTGTGCGGTGTATGTGTGTGTGTGTGTGTGTGTGTGTGTTGGGTAGCAACACAAGTATAGGAAGAATAGGAAGCGAGACACAGGGCAGCTGGAATCAAGAGCAAACAGTAAACATGAAAGGAGGTCGCTTCACGGACAATCTGCGTCCTATATTGTCTCACTCAAGGAGGGGTTCTAGATCGGAACCGTCTAGGATGATGCAACACAGCCACGCAAGAATCCGCAAAGAAAGTGCGCGCGTGTGACATATGTGTGTGTGTGTGTTTGCGTGTTTGTATGTGTGTGTGTGTGTGTTTTACGAGAAACCACGAACCTCGAGAACAGAATACTGCATGATAGAGGTGGTAGCAGACGCAGCTGTGGTGACGAAACTGGAGCATATCCGCCGACCTGAGGTCTCGGCTTCAGGGACACTTGAGTGCACCAAAAACTGGGGAGGAGTAGGCACAGGGGGAGGGGAGGGGGCAATAAATAAGATAAGCTGAGGGTTTGTTGAAAGTCATCATGCCTATACACACCATCAGGAAACAGTTTGTGTGTTCTAAGAACGTTTTCTTGTGACGATCTTCCGTTGCATCATCGAGTCTTTTCTAGTGGTAAACACAGACTGTGTATGTGGTGCGTGTGCGTGTACGAATGTGTGTGCTTGTGCGTGCGGTGTGTGTGTGTGTGTGTTAAGTACCAACACAAGTATAGGAAGAATAGGAAGCGAGACACAGGGTAGCTGGAATCAAGAGCAAACAGTAAACATGAAAGGAGGTCGCTTCACGGACAATCTGCGTCCTATATATTGGCTCACTCAAGGAGAGGTTCTAGATCGGAACCGTCTAGGATGATGCAACTCAGCCACGCAAGAATCCGCAAAGAAAGTGCGCGCGTGTGATATATGTGTGTGTGTGTGTATGCGGGTGTGTATGTGTGTGTGTGTGTGTGCGTAGGTTTGTATATATGTGTATGTGTGTATGTTTGTGTGGCGGTGGGTCGTGTGTCTACGTTCGTGTGTGTGTGCTTGCGTTTGTGTGTGTGTGTGCGTGTGTTTGTGTATGTGTGTTTGGGTGGGCCGTGGGTGCCAGCGAGCGCGTATATAGTATGTATGTGTGTGGTTGTGGTCCATGTTTATGTGTAGTTTAGATAAACATCACTCCCTGCAAAGAGTACTTAGTGAGGACGTGAACATCGACCACAGAAGCACGGCACTGCGCTCATCGCTAGATCAAGCCATGACACAGGCCACCCTCGTGACTAACAAAACGTTATGCAGTCAAAAATACGCGTACGTGAATCCGCGACAGATCGGCTTATTATACTTACCCAGTGAACGGCCGACGATATTGATGAGCGTCTGAACGTCTCCCTGCTCTCCCTAGATTTCTACAAAGCATTTGATAGAGTAAGCCACTCAACTCTCCTCCGTCAAGTCACCAAATTCTCTGACCATAAAATCACCGCTTGGATTAAGAGTATTTTGAAGAGTCGACGCATGGCCGTGAAAGTTGAGTCATGCATGTAAGTAACTCCAAAGTCAGCAACCGTGGTGTGCCCCGGGGATCATATCTGTCACATCTACTGCTCGTGATCTACATTAATGACCTACCAGAAGCCATATTTCACTCGCACACCTTCTTGTTTGTGGATGATTCCACTATAATTTTGCCCAACAAAGGCTTTCTGTCCAGTCCCGGAATGCGAGCACACAATCATGCATGCCAAAATTGGGCCAGGAAAAAGTCGGAGTGTTTTCGCCGTCGAAAACATCTGTTTTAAGCTTCCGTTATATTCCAGCCGCAGCACCATCATCAGCGCCAACATATGCCAGCTACACTATGGAGGGTTTACCCTTTCCCAGCATTGACATCCTCTTATATCTTGGAGTTCGCTTCAGTGCAGACCTAAACATCTGCCACAGATTGAAGCAAAGAGTAAAACTAATTTGTCACGTGGCACATCGTCTTACACCATCGGTCATGATTCTCCTCTACAAGTGGAATGTTCGGCCTGTATTTGAGTATAGTGTCGTAGTATGGTCCTTCAGTCTTCAGTCAAGCGATTTGACTGAGCTGCATGGAGTCCAGTTGTAATGACGAGCCTCACAAACTCACTTGCAAACATTATGCTTCATTCACTGTTATGCGGACACCATGTACATCCCACCTCCCCCACCACACCTGCATGCTCCCCAACGCCTTCACACTGCACTACTTTTCACTACTTATACTTTAGCAGTTCACCATTCAAAACAGTGAACCCCTCGTTAGGTGACTAGCCTCTGGAAAATCCTAATAAAAAGTTATGCAGTCATTTACGCTTTGCACTGCCGCCATTAATTCGTCATGACAAACTGTCAACCAACGTAACCAGATCTTATATAGTCAGCGAGTGCGACAAAATGGCACAAGACCGACAAGGAGTACGGAGACATTCGGCGACCTGACACCTAGCTCCAACACTTCTCCAAGGCGCAAACCAACCACCTTCTGACTTGAAAGGCTCAGGTTCGGAAAGGTCCAAGAGGGGAAGGACTTCGTTGGTGGACAGTTTGTCATAACTCGTAACATTTTGTCCTTTTCCTTTCTTCATCATAACTGTATTGGCTCACCATCCGAGTTCAATATTATTATTATGCTCCATTTCTGTCCAAAACTGCAGCAAACGAAGACCTAGGGTCCTATCGATTTTGCTCTAGTACCGATACGGCTCTCCTGTACGAATATCGTGTGGGAGGATATAACTATACAACTGCTGTGCAAGTGTGTGAAGGGTACGATGGCAAGTTGCTAAGCCTGGAAACATTTCAAGCAAACTGTACCGATGGCATGCAATTCAGCATGATGGCCGCATGGATTGGCGACAAAGGTTATCAAAAATCCAATGGAGACTGGGTATACTGGTCTACTAACAACTATGGATATTTTGAGAATCAAGGCTTACAAGCTATATGTGAAATTCGTAAGTTTCTGATGGAGTGTGAGCTTAAAAGTAATGGTTTGTGGCACCTTCCTTCCCCAATTATTTATAATGCCATCCTAAGCTAATATTTAATGGCCTTGGCAACAGAGTCCATCTAACCTGGAAGCAGATTATATTACATCCAGCTATATGGTGTGAGTTTGCGAAGCCCATGGTTCTGTCCGATCTTCCGTGAGGCGATGTTTTCTTATTTTTTTTTTACAAAGACCACTCAAATGCAAAACATGAGATACAGCTAGGGGAAGCACGCACAACCTAAATCGTGGCAGTGGTGGTGAGGTTTAGGGAGCTCCGCCGACCTAGGGTCTCGACTTCATGGCCGCCTAGGCGCACCAAGAGTGGGTGGAGGAGGGAAAGCGAGAGAGTGAGAGAGAGCGAGGGAGAGAGAGAGAGAGAGAGAGAGAGAGACAGGCGTGTGGAAACTGGAAACACTACTACGTTAACCGTATACACAAACAAAGAAGCAATCAAAGCCGTCAATCTGAGCCTATGATATTTCAGCGTTTGTTCAGCACCTCCACGAGCAACACTAACTCCCGCTGTTATCTGGTGTTCAGCAGGTGTTTGTCAAGCTGGAAACGGAACGTCTCTGTAAGTTGTCCCTGGTGATGTTTGTACCTGGAGAGCACCATGTATATATAAGTGGTGCTCTTCAGGCACAATCTTCCTCAGCCTACTCAAGCTCAACTGATGAGGGGTGAATAACCCGAAATACTGTGTATTGAGAAGGGAGTGGTGCTTTCTTTCAGGTTTGCCGAGTGAAAGGTTTGATGGACTTCTTGCGTGCTCTTGGATGGCCGTCGTGAGTCAGTCAAGTGAGAATTCAAGTCGGCAGGAATTGCGCAAGCTGCCACGTAGGGATCAACACAAATTTCCCCAATTATCGCCGACGTCGCACCAACCTCTTCTTCACATGATATTTTATGCAGAACATATAGGCCATGATTCGCCTTATGCGCATTGATCCTTGAAGGGCGGTGGCGTTTCTACGGATGCAGAAAAATCGGCCTTTTGCCGAGTCTGACGTTAGCCGTGAAATAAACTATTTTTTATTGTTGGCCACGCTAGAGCTCATTGTAGCCCACCCTTTTTCATGTCTATGCGTTAAGTCACCCGAAAATCTAATATCGTATGCGAGAGGTGTAAAAGAATTAAAAAATGACCGAAAAGTATCGAAAGAAAAGTTGTCAGCATCGACGCAATCCACATATTCAATTTACTAACCAAACGTTTTTGTTCCCTTCTTATTATCGGTAAGTACAGAGATTAATGGAATTATTTATTTATTTATCCATTTCACCTTTCCGTTGCCAAAGAATATAGGCCAATATGGAGGGGGGGGGGCGGTAGCCAGCCATGGCAGTAAACAAAACAAAGCAAAAATAAATAAATGTTACACATTACTGGAGGCGAAGAGAAACAAATCTCGATCAAGAATTAGCAGTTGTTAGAACACGAGCTTCATGTTAGACTTTAATTCATTTAGCGTACAAGACGATTTTACTGATAGAGGCAGGGCCAGCCAGAGAGAATAGGCAGCGAAAAACGGAGATCTGGTATAAGCTGATGTTCGGGCTTTAGGTAAAGTGCAGGGATTGCGCGTAGGACGAGTTATATATATAATATATAAACTAGTTATATTTACGCAAGTGTGAATTGGCTTTGTCAGGACGAATAGAATGAACAACAATACACAGTTTTCAATCCACTTGACTAGAGATGGGGGAAGTGTTAAACATATCATACAGCTCGGCAGAAGGAAAGTATGATGGTTTGCGGAAAAGGACTTTCAGTATCCTCTTATTGTGGACTTCCAGGGTACTCATTACCGATTTACTTAGTAGGGATGACCAGGCGGTTGAGCAATAGAGAAAAATGGGAAGAATATGGCAATGATAAAAAAGGCGAATGTATTCAAGCGGTAGGTGGGAGCAGTGAGAAGCGAGGTTGCCAACATCTTTACTGGCTTTGCTACAGATATATTCGACATGTCTACTAAACGATAAGTCTGAGTCAATGACCAAACCAAGATGCTTGTGTTGCGTCACCACTGTGCGGTCTTTGAGGGATCCGGGAAGAGTGAGTGCATAGGTTGGTTGGCTCTGAGTTCGGCAGGAATAATATCTCAGTTTTGGCGATATTGGGTCTTAGTCTCCAGGTAGTCATCCGCTGATGGACTTCGTTGATACCGCGCTGGAGACTGTCTCGCAGCCTGTCTAGACACTCATTGAACCGGAGCGGTATTGTCAAAGTACCGAAACAATTTTTTCACTAGATCGACCTTTGGGCATACAGCACTAAAATCGATGAAATGTAAAATAGCATCCAAACTTAACAACAACTTAGAAAACTACAGTCAACTTCACCAATAACGACTGCGGATATAACGACAATTCGCGAATAACGACAGAATTTCCATGCCCAGAGCAAAGTCCCATACCACTGTAATGCATTATAATGAGACTTCGGGTATAACGACACTTCGCGAATAAGGACACCTTTTTGATGCCCCGCCGAGTGTCGTTATAAGCGAAGTTGACTGTATACCTGGTAGGAGCTTCTGTGCACGTGCTGGTAGATTTCGCAGCAAAACATGTATACAGTGTATTATACACAAAGGCAGAACAACAGGGACCAACAAATCTTTCTCGTAACTCGGAGTTTCGTGTTCATAAACACTCTTCGTCTGATGAGTGTTTATGAACACGAAACTCCGAGTTGCGAGAAAGATTTGGTCCCTGTATTTCTGCCTCTGTGTAGTACGCTCTGCGCATTTTGAGGTATTGAGCACTATTAGCAGCAAGGACTCCAGACACTTTGTCAGTGTATTATACATGTACAGTCAACTTGGCTAATAAGTTCGACTGCGGATTTAACGACAATTCGCGAATAACGACAGAATTTCCATGCCCAGAGCAAAGTCCCATCCCCCTGTAATACATAATTATATTGAGACTTCGGGTATAACGACACTTCGCAAATAAAGACTCCTTTTTCATGCCCTGCCGAGTGTCGTTACAAGCGAAGTTGACTGTATTATAGCACTAGCGACCTCGCATCATGTGTCGTGCAGACCGTGCCGGGGTAGACATGTGCATGTGCTGGTCCCCACAGTGCAGCACATTTTTCTTTCTTCCAGACTCCGCAATCGTATGCCCGTGGGTGACGAAAAACATACATGTAGAAGTATAAACGTGTGGCCTTATAGGCCATTGGAAGATCATCGGACGGGATTGATCACAGTCGCTTCTGAATTGTTTTGGTCTAGGTGGATGAGTGACAGCTCTTTACTTTGGTATTTTGTGCGCGTCATTGGTATCGCGACTTCCTAAAAAAAGATTGAATCTGATAATAATCGGGGTGAACTTATTTTCAAAAGGGTAAAGTTTGTAAACTGATAGCTGCCCAGCATGCTGACATGAATAGATAATGATAACGACATGTTATCGTAACGGACAGCACAGGCTACTTACCCTTCAGTATCTGTAATACATGTTGTGAACCCTCTGGTTCTCTAAAGTATCAGGAACGAACGACCCCACACGGCACGAGGACAACTATTTATTCTCAACAGTATATTTCACTTCCATCGACCAATAACAATGAACAATGGATGACTTAATGAACAACTGAATGAACTGAACTAACTGAATAACTAACACTAAAACCACCAGGTAGTTATAGCGTGAAAATGACAGCGTATATGAGAAAAGCATACACATACAACATACAACTACAGCGCACACAGCAAACCGCACATAGCGCATGTAGCGTATACTACGTCGTAAACATCAACGGTACGGCGGAGTCGGAATACAACTGCATTGGAACGAACACAATGTCACAAGCGAGAAGGCCTTTCACTCTCGAGAACTTGTGGTTTCACAACATTCTCCCCACCAAAGGGCTTCTCACCGCCGTACAAACTCACAAGTCAAACGATTTGGGGCTTACTACGCGTCATCTGCTGCTGCGGTGGTGGCCATGGTAGAATATCACTAATGCCCACCACTTCAGACAACTCGACATCGCGAAGCTCGCCGCTGTGGGCTGTCGCACACGCCACTGTTACCGATCCACTTCGACATGGGGCGGACGCTGAACCAGACAACACACAACCGATACTTTTACCAAGCTCGCCGATGTGGGCTGTCATACACGACACGGTCACTGGTACACTGCTTCGATCCGGGGCGGGCGCGGAACCCCAGAACACACATCCGATCTCTGTGTTCCACACAGTCTCGCCGTTGACCTCTTCCGTGCTAACCAGTAGTATCGCCCTTCTCGTTTCCTTATCTTCTACGCCTTGCGCTTTTATGTCTTGCGCCTCTAACTCTTGCGCCTCTAACTCTTGCGCCTCTATCTCTTGCGCCTCTAACTCTTGCGCCTCCAATTCTTGCGCCTCTAACTCTTGCGCCTCTAACTCTTGCGCCTCTAACTCTTGCGCCTCTAACTCGTTCGGCCGAGACTCCAGCTGCTTCTGAGCGTCTCCGACCGATGTCGCCATGCACTGTACCGACCCAGTGGGCCTCGGATCTGATCCTCCCACTGGCTTCGAATACTCTTCTGACCGCTGCTTGTCTGCAAGCAAAGTCTTACACGCCTTGTCCGGCGTCCTTCCGGGCGAGGCAAGCAAATCTCGCTTTGCTTCCTCATAATATGTACCGACGGCGATGCGCTCGGCCATCTTCTTGAGCTTTTCGTTAAACTCTGCGCGGAGCGCACACTCTTGCCGTCTAGCACTGCGCTCTTCAAACTCCTCGGTCTGTCGGAGCCTCTTCTCCACGTATTCCCTCAACCTATCGCCTTCAAATCCATACCGAATTCCGTTGGCGATAAAGCTGGCTTCGATGATCCATAGTTCCTGTGCCATGCTCGCTTCGTATCCTGGCGTGGTCGCCAAATGTTGTGAACCCTCTAAGATTCTCCAAATTGTCAGGATCGTACGACCACACGGCACGAGGACAACTCTTTTCCTTTACACAGTATATTTCACTTCCATCGACCAATAACAATGAACAATGGATGACTTAATGAACAACTGAATGAACTGAACTAACTGAATAACTAACACTAAAACCACCAGGTAGTTATAGCGTGAAAATGACAGCGTATATGAGAAAAGCATACACATACAACATACAACTACAGCGCACACAGCAAACCGCACATAGCGCATGTAGCGTATACTACGTCGTAAACATCAACGGTACGGCGGAGTCGGAATACAACTGCATTGGAACGAACACAATGTCACAAGCGAGAAGGCCTTTCACTCTCGAGAACTTGTGGTTTCACAACAATACATGTACATGTTAATTTACTTGTTCGTCGTTCTATTTATTTGGTCTCGTCATGTTGCCATGCTCTGGATAGAGTCGTATCATCACAGCTCTAAAATTGATCAAGAGAAAATGTGCTCCTTTCGTTTTGAATTCAGCCTGTAATCGCACTGCTGGAGATCATATTGCTGGAATAACACCAGATGGCAGCGTCATTTGTGATCCTGGATATGTATACCGCCATAGTCAACCAGTGTGCAAAGAAACAACACAAGTTCTTTCATGTGTTCGTAAGTCTGACGATGTGATTCTTACCTGGTTTACTACTGCCTTCTGCTACTATAAAAAGCAGTTGTCCGTTGACAAACCCCCTTTTATTTACAATGCAGTTGCGTGATGTCCACCACTTTCTGAACATTTCTGCCCAAACGTACCCAATAATTCCACTCGCATAATAGTGGACGGTATTTCCTATCGTAGATTTCCTTCCGTCACCGAAGTGTACGACATACTTGCATTTGCTTGGTTCCGAACGCAGTGCCAACTGAATTTGCCAAATTGACATGGTATGTGCGTCATTCGCAGCCCTTTTCATTTTTTATTTCTTTTAAAATATTTGTTTTTTACTATGTGCAAATCCATACAAAATAATGGGGGTAATGAAAGAGACAAAGACAAAATACAAAGACAACAAAGAAGTAGTAGGTGATGCAAGAGCTGTGGTGGTCAAGGGCGGTGCACTCCTCCGACCATTCCCGTCTCGGAATAAACATGGATTGTGCGGGTCAAGGGGGTATACTATGAATGAAGGATGTAAAATAGCATCTGAAAATGCAACAGAAAGGCGTCTTCAATCTCTATGAATTTACTCTCTTGAGGTCTGTTGTTGAAAACGAAAATCCACTGGATATTAGAAACTCGGATGTTGAGCCATAAATATACTTTGAAGTATGTAGAAAGGAAAAGGACATAAGGATACGAGTTAATATAAAGGGTTAAGAGTAACTTTCCATCACTGTAACTGGATACTACTTGGTCCGACTTACTAAATTGTGCGCTTCACTTCAAAACTCAAGCCTATGTCCAAAGGAGCACCTGTACTCAAAAATCGACCAAGAGACGATAGATAGACAACTACTGTGTCGTTTTTTTGGCCTGACGTTCTAGTTTTTGTCTGGTTTCTCAGGGCGCTTCTTCAAGTGCGTCAACCTGCAAAACGTCGGCATTTTTTCATCTCCTCCAAGCTACACTGCGCGTCCTTGTTTTTATCACTCTATAGGCACGATTTAGACGATCGACTTCGCCTCCTCCTCGTGCAGTACGACTGTCAGAATGGTGGCTGTAGGTGTTTTCGCCTGACGCTCCCACGACACTTTCAAATGAGGCGAACAAGTAAACCACCACGCATAAAAAAATCACTTCTCATCACCGTGTGCCGCGCTCATAGAACTACTGAGTCTGATCTGTGTCGACATGACTGTCCCACAGTCAGCTGCATCAGACCATGCGTGCTCTTCCCTGCCTGTTTCACGAATCCACTGGCCCCGGAGACTGGCAATCTTGTGACGCATCGCGATCGCGGCTCCCAGGAGTCGGCGAGGACTCCGCACCATTCACGAACCGTATTCACCCTCTCTGCGCTTCAGTTTTCCAGCCAGGTTGTCGCCTGAAAGTCGACCTCAAGGGCGGTTGTTTATGTCGATCAACTTCTCCAAGATCTCTTCTGTGTTCTTGATTCGTCGGCCGCCACATCGTGAACGAATGCGAGAGAGATCAGCACAAACTGGACGGAGCGATGCAGGTGCTTTCTGCACGAGTTTCTGGATGACGCGTTTGCTGAACTTGATTCTTCCAAGGAAACAGCGACTGCAGCGATTTCAATCCGCCAGGAAGCACTCGAGAACGATCGCCCAGGAGTTTCTGGTACTCCGTGTTAATTCCCCTTCGCAGTGGGATGTTGATTTCAGCACCAGGCCTTCTCTGTGTTGCGCAAGAAGCAACAGGAGTACTCTGACGACAAAAATTGCACGCAAAACGCTCGAGTCGCTGCCTCCTTTGGGGTTGGAGCCATTTCTTGTTCAACGTCACAAATCGACAACTGAAGGATAGTGTTAGGTAGCTGGAAAATTTGCTCCGTCCTGAGATTATTTGAATTTGTTTGGTTGACGTTCGAAGCGAAACGCACATTTTAATAAGTCGGACCAAGTATATACAGTCAGAAAGTGCAATAGCTAGGCACAAAACGGACAAGAGGACTGAGACATTCGACGTCCTGACACCTAGCTTCAACACATCTCCGTAGCACTAACGACAGCCTTCCAACTTGGAAGGTTCAAGGTTATGGAAAGACTTCGTTTTCGTTGCGCTTGCCTTCCCCTCTTTGGTCTTTCCATAACCTTGAACCTTCCAAGTTGGAAGGCTGTCGGTTAGCGCTACGGAGATGTGTTGAAGCTAGGTGTCAGAACGTCGAATGTCTCAGTACTCTTGTCAGTTTTGTGCCTAGTTATTGCACTTTCTGACTGTATATATAGTATCCAGTTACAGTGATGGAGAGTTAGTCTTAACTCGTGTCCTTATGTCCTTTCCTTTCTACACTGGATATTAGTTTGTAACAACAGATATTTTACATTGATATGCCGTTGTTGTTCCATTTTCTCTCTGAACCTGCAGTACACAGAGAACTAGAAGGCTATCGCTTTTGCTCCCGAACGCATACCATCCTACAAGAGGTGCGTCATACCGATGGATTTTACTATACAGCCGCAGTGAAGGCATGCAATGCGATTAATGGCCAAGTTCTAAGCTGGGAGGCATTTGCAGCACATTGTGCGGATGACATGCGGCTGGACAAGATGAGCGGAGCCTGGATTAAATCCAACGGTTTTATCCATTCAAGCGGAAAACACCTGCATTTGTCTACTAACAACGTTAGCATTCACAGTCCTATTCGCACTATATGTGAGAATCGTAAGTTCCTCAGCGTTGGTGGTCTTGCTTCGTTACAAAAGAACACAAACGCAGCTCAACACAAAAAATTCCAAGAAAGATTGGTAAATTGAAGAGAAGTAGAAGGACAAACATTTTACGAGTTGTCACAAACTGTTCACCAGCGAAACCAGATCCTATACAGTCAGCGAGTGCGACAAAATGGCCCAAAACTGACAAGGTGTATTCGTCTAGGGATTGAGTTGAATCGTTTACACAACCTTGATGCATCTGCCTAGAGTTTCTTCGGATTAGACTATTCCAAATTTCCTTTTTAAGTTCGTCGCCTAGTTTCAGCTTTTGTATCTTTGTTTCAATACACCCGCTTCAGTACCACCAGCACCAGCACCACAACCAGCCCTGATTGCGTTTGAATGCGTTGAGGTTTTGTACATTGTTGTTTTCACATTTTGCTGATTGCAATAAAAACTCTGTGTTGCCAAGGAGTATTGGAATTTTCAATCAATACTCTTTGTCAGTTTTGTGCCATTTTGTCGCACTCGATGACTGTATATGATCTGGTTACGTTGGCGGACAGTTATTCATAACTCGTAACATTTTTGCCCTTCTCTTTTTCTTCCATAATTGAATTGGCTCGCAATCCGAGTTCAAAATGGAAGAGAGGACGAAGATAAGACTAGAACACATAAGTTGAGGGTTGACAGAACAGGCAACTGCGGACTCAGGGCGCACTATCCACTGTCGCAGCAGGATATATCATCCCACCTCCAGCCAAGCTGATCTCATAATATTATTGTCGAAGAGTTTAAAATGATTGGTGTATATGGGTGGGTACTTCAATGTATGACCGTCTCCTGCTCTAACTCAAGTTACTTTCTTCGCTCTAATCACCAATATCAAGTACCATCCCTTGTCAATCCATACCTATTAGTACATGACTGTACATATCAGCATGTAGTTGGAGAGTGCTACATGCATACCCATGATTGTCTACTCGTCTCATGTACCCTATGTTGAGATATTCACCATGTTAGTGAAAAATGTTCTCCCCTTTTCTGTTATTAGTGCGAACTGCGTACTATGCTACCTTCTACACACGTCTCCTGGCGCTCACTGCTCATGTCATGCAGTGATTATACCATGTAATAGAATCAAGCAAGAGTACGAGTGTGAGATCGCCTAATCACAGCCCGCCGAGGGAAGCACAAAGAGCTGTGATGTAGGCTGAGTATTTTGATTACCTTTCTGACATGCACCCACTCACATCCAACTGGTGAAATATTCAAAAAGGGCCGTGATTGGCTGATAAAACATGAACACGACTGTTTTCGTTTGATGTCTGACATGAACACGCACTTCGATCTTCCTATTGCGCTTGAAAGCGCGAATCAACCTTCTGGAGACCGAGTCGAAAAAAACCCAAGAGAACTTGATCAGTAAATCAAAGCCCTACTGGAGCGGACTTTGATCGTAAAATATAAGCCCACCACTCCTTTTCTTTCTCTACTTTTCCATGGCCACATCAGCATATTAAATTTAACGATGGTCACAACGACCAAAGCATTGAATTGAACGGGAGCAATAACAATGAACAGGTAAAGCAAAGGGGTCATAAAACAAGGCAAAGAGTAATGGCTAAAAGCAACAAAGATAAATGCGCAACCATACACAAAGAAATAATCGCAAAGAGTGTAACTGTGTAGAAACCTACCAAACGAGTTGCTTTCGACCTATATATCAATCATTGAACGGAAGTGTGTGTTTGCTCCGATATTGCTTGCACGTGGTTGGGGTTTCTTAGTCGAAATACCTACAGCTGCCAAACCATTCAACAACTTAGTGCAGTACTGTGTACGCGTTGCTAAATAGAGAAACGATCATCTGAAAACACAGCACGACATTCAGGATGCTCCAAGAAAGGACTAGCGATGAACGAGTCATACTGATCTGATCTGACATCAAGGCAATCACTATGCCAGGTTGAACCATCCAATACAAAATACATGTAGCTACGTTGTATAGTCGACTCAGTTCAAAGTCAGTTGTAATCCGTTTACCACAAGGCAACTGGTTTGTCGAAACATAACCGTGACGGGTATCACGTATTGTGTTAAAGAGTTGATCGTTTGTTTGGTCTCAAACCAATAAGCCACGAGAGTGTGAGCTCTGAGTCGTAGTACCTGTATGTGCATTCATTATGACTTCAGCTTGCAGACGCTCTGTCGGGGATCACATTTCCGCCATAACACCAGAAGGCAACGTCATCTGCGATCCTGGATATGTATACCGCCATAGTCAACCAGTCTGCAAAGAAACAACACAAGTTCTCTCATGTATTCGTAAGTTTGGTGATGTAATTATTCACTGATATGATGCAGGAATTCACTCACCTTTTATCGCGATCAAAAAAGCTCTATAAAATTTAACGCGTTGTAGAGGGAAAACGCTAAAGGTCCTCTCGAAATTCATGTTGCATGGTTGTGTACAAGTTGCTAAGAATATAATTAAAGTAGAAAGGAAAAGGACATATGGAAACGAGTTAAGAGTAACTCTCCATCACTCTAACTAGATACTATGTATTATACAGTCAGAAAGTGCAACAACTAGGCACAAAACTAACAGAGTACTGAGACATTGGACGTCCTGACACCTAGCTTCAACACATCTCCGTAGCGCTAACCGACAGCCTTCCAACTTGGAAGGTTCAAGGTTATGTAAAGACCAAAGAGGGGAAGGCAGAAGTTTTGTGCCTAGTTGTTGCACTGTTTGACTGTATAATAGTATTTAGTTTCAGTGGTGGAGAGTTACTCTTTACTTGTTTCCATATGTCCTTTTCCTTTTTACTTTTATAATTGGCTCAATACCCAAATTTTAAGAATATAATAATGTTATTTTACGCCAATTCCGAGAATACTATCTTCAGGAAGTTTGACCATTCTCATAGCCAGCAATCGCATGTCATCACGTACATTCAAAATCAACATAATTTTGCGAATCGACCTTTTTTCAGGATCACTTTTCAACGAGGACGAAGCAAAGTCGGCCGAACGAAGCCTAAAGGAAGAAAATCATCCTCTCCACTTCACCATCACGATACTGACATAGATACGAGATGAAAGAACTAAAAAATCCACAAGAAAACTGTCCGGCCATCATCGCGCTGACTTTGGTCTGACTTTGGTCTGAGAATTTCTATCACGATCAAAAATGTACGAGGAGCACTCAAAAATACACCACAGACGTACCTTTATCGCTCTCTACTCCTTTTTCAAGGCACAAAAGTCGACTCTCCACTTTCAAACCAGGAACTAGACATACCAGTGGTCCTTTTCAGCTGCTCCACGAGCGCAGGAAATGTTCACCAAGGGGCGCAGAGCAGCATCCATTCCAGAAAAAGAGCTAAAATACGAGTGAGACTGCATGCCTGAGTACATGAGTACATGTATGAGTACATGCAGAAAATAGTCAATTTCAGCGTTTCTGCTCCAAACAGCAACTAGCTTCAACTAGAAACAAAGATTACACCAAAGGATCAAACAACAACCATTTTCTGCCGTTTTTTTGCAGATGGCTTCCTTGTGCTTGGCCCAGCACGTCAAAAAATCACACCTCGGAGGAGTACAAAAATTACAACTCTCAGATGTCCTCGATTGCTGACCATGTTGGCTTCTTGACAAAAATAAAACTACATTAACATGTCAGTACCACTTGTTTAAGTCGTGCCAACATTATTTTTGAGCGGTACCATTTTTACAGTGCGCTGCGAGACTGTTGAGAGCCGTCGCTATACCAAGTTATCCTTGAAGCCTTCTTTTCTGTCTCCTCCGTAGTATGAACACTCTGTAAAGGTTCCACCTATGGTATGCACTTGTTGGTTCCAAGCTCCGGACTGAAAAGCACACAAGAAGTGCTGCCACAAACCCTTCCACTAACACCAGCACAAATTTACATGTGAAGAATCTCTGCATTTGCCGAACCTCTGAAGAAGTCAACACGAAACGCAATTTGGTGTTTTTCACTTTCGCTTGACGGTAAAGGGTTTTGTAGTAAAAAAAGAACTGGGAAAAGGTTTCGAAAGTAACAAAAACTTCTCAAGAATTGGCTTTCAATCTCTACCTTTGTTATATCCCTATTGTAATCTGTTTATATGCAAACTTACCTGCAGCACACCAGGAACTGGAGGGCTATCACTTTTGTAACCTTACCCGTACCGTCCTCCAAGAAACCCCTCGCGAGGTACGGTTAAACTATACTACTGCAGTACAAGTATGCGACGGGAATAATGGCAACGTCCTGAGCTGGAAGGCGTTTAAATCACATTGTGCCACTGGCATGCAGTTCGACGAGAGAAAAGCTGCCTGGATCAGGTCCAACGGCTATATTGCTTCAACTGGAAAGCGCGTACGGTGGACTACAAAGGATTTTGGCAAATATGAAGACGGACCTTTGCGCACTATATGCGAAACTGGTAAGCACTCATACCCTTATCCTCTCATCGTCCCAGTGTTCCATTTTTCCCATTGTTCAGTTATAGCCTGTGAGCGGCTATGCATATAAAGGTTTGTTTCATTATTCATCCTCCCCTAAGTGCGGTCCTGTGCGTAGTAGTTATCTACCCTAATATCCAGGAATCCAAACCATATCTAGCCTATCCAGACACGATAATGTTTATCAATCCAGCTGCCTGGAGTATCTTCGTTCACCCATGCAGCTGTTTATTCTCGCCTGTACAGACTGAATACGCCGCTCACTATGGCGCTGCGCAGAGACGTGGATGTATGTAAACATCGAAATTATCAGCAGAGCATCTGGGTTTCATTGTTTTTATGAGTATTCATAATCCAAACAGCTTGTGATGATGATGATCATGATGATGATGATCATAATGAATAGAGGATATTCATGGTAGGCGTTCCACTTTATGAGAACCAATGACTGGTGCCGAGATGTCTACGACGTCGAGCAGTGGCAGCTGATTGGCCGTACAGCGGTTCAGGGAATCAAAGTGAATGAATCAGAAGGAAGGTAACCCGAGAGAGGGAACTAATCTTCAGTCGTGATCATCCACATCGATGAATAGAACATGAAATCGATTTTGGAAACAATCATGACTTCATTGTTGTGGTGATGACGGTAAATTCTATCCTTTTATTGATATCTCCATCCGAGTCAATTTTATTGATATCAAATTTTAAAGTTGTTCCCGCCAAGTTTATAGAAATATAAAGATAATTTAAGATTTCCCTCAGCCAATGAAAATAAAATTTATTCTGCCTGTAGCTTGTCAACGCGCTGCCGAAGATCACATTTCTACCATAACACCTGAAGGCAACGTCATCTGTGACCCTGGATATGTATACCTCCATAGTCAACCAGTGTGCAAAGGAACAACACAAGTTCTCTCATGTGTTCGTAAGTCTGACGGTCTCACAATAGCATTTAACTTGATGGTTTTGTTCCCGTCGTGATGTCATTATTTGCCACTTGCCTAACATACATATGAATAGTACATTTATAAGGGATTTTCAGGCACTTTCTTCTTATTTCCTACATTAAAATTAGTTGTATTCTACGAAGGCGAGATGCAAAAAGATTTATCAGTCTGCTAGAACTGATACTAGCCAGAAAATTAACCCTGGGCGGCGATTGAAAGTGGATCATGAAAAGCAAGCGGGGCAATGGCAGGAGTGATCGAGATAGTTGTATACACGCTCGAGATATTAGTAACCAGGAAGGTGCGTGGAGGTGGAATAAGTTCTGGCCAAGGAAGACTGGATACATTGAATTACTGTCTTCGAGAAAGTTAGGTAAAGGAGAGAAAAAGGTACATGAAAAAGGGTACATTTACTCTGACGCTGTTTCAACTACCTACTGCACATGAACGACCATTCATCAAATATCAACATATCAACAATGACTGGTAAATGTTCCTGGGAAAAATTCCTAGGACTATTTTCATATTGTAACATGGAAATTGTGGGCACTAGTTATGCTATCGAGTCCACCAACAGATTTTGAGCATTTTGTCAGTTTGTGCAAGATTGTGCAGGTCTGACAGCTCAAAATATGGATTAGTTGGTGGACTCGATCGCATAGCTTGTGCCCACAATTTCCATGTTACAATTCTTTTCCTCGGCTCACCATCTGAGCACTATCATCATAATTATCACGGCATAGCATTGCTTCTAATGTGATCCGGATTGTTCTGGAGCGAAATGCGCGTGCTTTTCTTTTAAGGGTTTGACAACAACTTGATAGCATTGGCATCCAATTGCTTTTCAAAATAATGTTTGTAAACTGGAGCTAACACATAGTGATACACAAGAGAGTTGCTGGAGGGATGCCGGACCTTTTGGACACACGGTCTTGGTTGTAAAGTAGATTGTTCACTGTCTTTCGATATAATTGTAGTCTTGGAACCAGGCCTTGAAACTCATTCTGGTTTTCTCACTTGCTTTTTGACAGTTTCCGTTATGAAAAAGTGCGCAACATTTAAAGAAAAGAGAGCGGCTGCACGTTATTTGGACGTGACGTGGAAGGTCCGCTCAGGCCATTTGACTCACGCATTGGCAAAGAACGCGAGAGAGCTGCATCTCAGGTCGAAATTTGACGCGAAATTGGGCGTTACGGGAAACATAACGTGCGCAACTGCAAGCTACTTTGTTGTGTACATTATTGTATGCATAGAGATTAAACAGGTGATATAAAATAGAAGACAAAAATATAGGAACGAATTATCATTCGCACCAATTCAAGGTGTATCCAGGTTCAAAAATGCTCCTTTGTGCGTTTCCTATTGTCGTAGGGCAATTGAACAATAGCAGTTCAACATTGTTGGTGGTTGGTATTGGAATTGGTTCCTTTGCGTTTGGTTGCATCATGACGGTCATTGTGATCAGTATGTTCCAACGGATACGATCAAAGGCAAACAAAATCAGGAATGAACCACAGGTGTCATCTGATGCTCTGCATTGTAATGAAGGGGCAGTCAACATGACGGAGAGTGACCTATACGGAAACAGCGAATCAGATCCGCAGGCAAACCGACCAGATCGTGATTGTAATGTATATACCATCACTCACTGAGCATCCACATCAGCCCATGTTTCTCAAGACCTGGCACGCACATGTTTTACTTGTCGCATAAGTACTCCTCTGTATCTCACTCCTTAATTATTAATTAAAACTGCATATAGTTGCCTGATGATCGTAGTAATACGTGAAACTCAGAGTTGTAACAAAGCTTCCAATCTCTCTCTTGTGTACAAGGCTCTGCCATACATGGGTATTGAGCACTCTTCGGACAGTGAAGCACACCACGTGACTACGTAAAACTGCATTATACATGTTCACATACTACAATCTCATCATCATCATCATCATCATCACGACTCTCACACAATCCTTAGCTCTCCCGTAATGTATATTGCATATTCTTCCTACAGAGATTCTCCCGTTTATGTCAGTAACGATGTGCACAAAGTGTTCCAAATCCGACATTACTTTACCCACGAATGCTGTGTGAGGTCGGATTACATTCAATGAAGTATATCAGTAGGACATGCCCTCTATGTTTCTAAATGTATTGGTAATGCTCGAATTGACACCGATATCGATTAAATTTTTAAACCCTTGTTACCCTTTTATGCATGTCATCAAGAGTAGATAAACGGATTGGTCAGCCCACGACGAAAATGTTTGGCGCCCCAGATGATGGTGCGAGTCTTAAGTGAAGTTTTGCCTCATGCATTTGGCTGGGCTTTACAATACAAGGTCGGTGCCCAGCACGTGCTCTCACACTGCTCTGCGGCAAAATGCAGAACACGCGCCATGTTTTCCGAACAGGGTGACGTTAACAAAAAATTCCTCCATGTGCCGGGTATCTACAGAATCGATTGATTGTGCAGGAGAGGTGCGGAGTTGCACAATCTTGTTTATCTACTCTTTATGTCAGGTTTGGTCGCGTGACATTATTTGCTCGTCACGCTGCATGATGGTACTGTAGTTGCTTCAATCCCGTTGTTCGTTGTTCTCCTTTGCTTAACATGACGTTGTGTTCTCAGAGGGTGTATGGCATTCTTATTCTATGTGAGTATTCGCTTCATTGAATTCTGCTGTATTTGACTAGGGTTCAAAATTACTGATCCCCTTTTTCCTTTTATGCAATTGGTTTCAATGTTATTAACATTGTGTTCTATGTCTGCTAACGCAGTAAGGAGGGCGAGCTGATGCGGCATTTGATTCAGCTCGTCCTCCTTATTGCGTTATTAAACTTGTTGTCTCCTCCCCGAATATTTAAATACTTCAGGCCGACATGTGTTCTACTTCTCCATTATTTGCAAATTGTTTTTTGTTCGCCCATAAAAGAGGTTTCATGATTATTTTGCTGCTAGGTTCATGTTTGCTTATGGATACATTATCGAGAGTTGCCAGATTTGCACCTATCCCTGAGAACACTCTTTCCATTTTATGCAAATAATTATTACCCATCGGTTTCCGAATGTTTGCTTTAGCCCTCCCAGCTGGTAACCAAACGTATGTGATTTTGCTGTTGTTGTATGTGTGTGGGGGGGGGGGGTAGGAGGGATCACACGAACTGGGCACCAAGGTGCCCCAATTCAAAGAACGACAGTTCACGGAACGACAGTTCACAGAATGATATTTCACAGACTACCTTTTTGACAGACAGCCCATTTCACCGGAAGACAGTTCACAGAGCACTGTTTTTATCGACAGCCCATTTCACCGAATTTGATAAGTCATCCACTCAAAAATGTATTGTTTCGAAATAAAGCAAAGTATGAAGAATATGAGAGTATGCACGTGTGACATGGTCATTTCACTATACACAACATTGAACGCCAAATTACGCGCTACTCCGCGGAGGAACTCTCTTGATGGTTGCTGCTCGACGGACTGTAGCAGAGCCCTCGACCGTTCCGCCTATTCGACAACATTCAACGCCAGATTATGTGCTACTCCACGGAGGAACTCTCTTGGTGGTCGCGAGCCCTCAGCCGTTCATCACATTGCTGATATCTCTTTTTCCGCTTAGGACCAGCGTTTCCAGCGACAAGCCGCTCAGGCTCTCGTTCCCTGGTGGCCTGCTCCATTTATTATTATTTATTTTTTCTTATTTTATTAGGGATTTCCCAACAGGCAATGTTGCCTTTTTACTGGGAACCCTAAATGAGACTTTGTGTGAGCGCGAAACAAAGCCAGTGACCCAGCCAGGCGACAAGATGCTTTGAACGAACAGTTTATTGGTTTTGGAACACAAGATGATCCTTCATGGAATGTGCCAGACTTCAAGCCACCCGACGCCCCATCACGTGGAAGAACTACACCTACGTTGCAAGATGTCACCACCACGCCTTTTGCTGTGGCAAAGCAAATCCGCAACCTTAAGACCCGAAAGGCTGCGGGAGCGGACGGTATTTCTCATGAACTCCTGAAACTATTTTGTTCCAGTATTGCATACCCTCTCAGCCTCATCTTTAACTTCACGTTTGCAACTGGTGCTTTCCCTGCTATTTGGAAACACGCAATTGTAACTCCGGTCTTTAAGAACAAGGGAAGTAAGCTCGATGCATCGAATTACCGACCGATCTCGTTATTGTCAACAATCTCCAAGCTGTGTGAACGTATTATGTACAACCACTTATACACTTACCTGTCTCCTGTTCTACATCCGTCCCAGTCTGGATTCCGAAAAGGCGACTCTACGTCCTGGCAGCTTCTCAGACTTGTTCAATCGATGTCTTCTGTTCGTGAGAACGGCCATTACAGCATGCTATGTTTCTTTGATCTAAGCAAGGCCTTCGACACAGTATGGACACGCGGGCTCCTATACAAGCTGTCGCGCCATGGAATCCATGGTACTTGTTTCACGTGGCTCAGTACTTACCTGACGGGCAGACAGCAAAGGGTGCGTGTCGGCTCTGCTCTGTCTGCCAAAGGGCATGTACGGTCTGGAGTTCCTCAGGGATCAATCCTGGGGCCTCTCCTCTTTCTTATGTATGTAAACGATCTGGCAGAAATGGATCACACATCACTATATGCTGATGATACAGCACTACTTGTGACAGCACCCACTCTCCCCGAGGCTAGTGTCAAGTTACAGTCCAACATAGACGGCGTTATTCATTGGATGGAAAAATGGAAATTGCAGCCCAACTCTTCGAAAACTGCTGTAATGTGTATCCCCCCCAGTTGTTCCTGTGACCTATCTTCATTAGTAACCAGTCCCTTCACCTTTCCAGGCACCACAACCCCGCTCTGCATCGTTGAAAAACACAAGCATCTTGGCGTCATTATTGACCAACACTTAACCTGGAAATCCCAGATCGAACATTTAGACAGCCGTGTTAGCTCAGTAATGGGATTTCTCTCATCACACATCACCCACCTCCACACCGACTGTCGCCATGTTATCTACACATCTTACATTCTGCCTATTTTTGATTACTGCTGCTTAATTTGGGCTGGCATTTCTAAAACACTGATTGCTCGACTCGAAGTTATGCATAGGCGTCTTTTGAAAATATTATTTCGGCTTCCTCGCCTGACTCCAAGCGTAGACTTATACCGCCTTGCGTCTGCTGTGCCGCTCTCGGTCCGCGTGCGTTTTTTGGCATGCCAGACAATTCATAAAATTAAGCTGGGCATTGCTCCTCTTCATGCTCTCTTCTGCCTAAGCTGGTTTGCTCAATCTCAAGACATGCGCACCAGAAACTCTCTCCGCTTCCCTATTGCGCGGTCTGCCTCTATGATAACATCTCCTCTCTTCCTTGCTTACCGCCATTGGTCTCTCCTCCCACAACATCTAAAATCCTGCCAATGTTACAATACCTTCACACAGCTACTGCAGAATGCAACATACTAGTTGATATCCAGCCCTGCCCTAGCTTCTCTTGCTTTTCAGTTCCCCTTTCATTCTTTTTCTTTCTCCCCTCTAGCTATATTACCGCCATGGCTGGCTATCGCCCACATCACCATTTCATTGGCTAGTGCCAAGTGATTGTGAATAAATAATAATAATAAAGATGGAGGCAGCGCATTCCACCTGTCGGCACCAAGATACGCAATGGAATGGAAACCATACCAGGAGTGGCAGGCAGGCAATACGATTTTCTTGCGTGGAAAACACCAAGAATGGAGCTTTTCCGGAGTGAGCACCACTGTAATGTAGCAGTAATACCTCTCCGGAAAGGGTGGGGCGAGAATCGTCTGGAATCACCCGCTCTTGGAGGGGTCCGGGATTTGGGTGAACATTTCTGACGTTCACACGCTCTCTCTCTCTGAGCCTTCCGCTTCAAGCTTCGGACGCTGGGCAACTGGGTGGCAGCTTCAATTGACGTCGCCGCCGCTGCAGCTTGGACAATCGTGTACGCCGATTCGTGTGTTGTCACCGATCGTGCCGCTTTTGCTTGCTCACATTAGCTGTTGCGACTCTAGTTGCTTCAGGTGCGTGGCCCGGTGGCTCCATTGTCATATTCGTATTTGTATCCGTATTCAACAAAGTTGACTTTGAATGATCGAATAGTCGTAAATCAAGGGCTTTTGTTTGACTTGGCGCGTGTGCGTTGTCACCTCTGGCGTGAATATTATTGTTGGTCACGCTGAAACGTACCCGTACTGCCGAGGATCGAGCCGCATTTTCCCACTTTTGTCCACTCTCGGCGAAATGGGCTGTCTGTGAATAAGTCAGTCTGTGAACTGGGTTTTCGTTGAATTGGGTGTCCGTGAAAAATGCATTCTGTGAGACTGGCGCTCTGTGAAGGGTCATTCTGTGAGTTTGGAATCTGTGAAACGTCACACGGTGAAATTGGATTCTGTGAACCATCGCATAACCCGAAAATGCCATCTACACAATGGTGTGAACCGTCTGAATACCAAGTTGAGAGTTTCGCACACCAATGGTCGCTTGCTCAGTGGTGTCAAGGTTTTTTTTTTTTTTTTTGAATGTTTATTTGAATTCGGATAGCTCAACAGTACAGAAGTACAACTACAAAGAGTACCGAATAGAAGGCCCCGAGAACGGGAAACCAAAAAAACAAAAAACAAAACAAAAAACAGCAACATCAAGTTACTGATTATGCACATTGCTTGAAAGCAAATCACAACAATGATTAAGAGTTAAGCTGTCTTTTAGCCAAATAGCCAATTTGACGCGGAAATCTGCGATAGTAGTGCAGGACTTCAGGTCGTCTGGTAAATAATTCCAAACAAGAGCCGATTTACTTGAAAAGGACAGAAAGCCAGACATAGATCTATAGCGATTGATACTCTTGTTATGAGTTGTAGAGCCGCGAGTAGTTCGGGTAGACGTACAGATGGGAAAGAGGGACTGCAAGCAAACAGCCGGCTTAATACAGTAACAGTGGAAAATGAATACAAGGAACAAAAATACTGATCGATATTGGAAAGAGGAAACATTGAGGTGGTGAAGAAGTGGCGTGATATTAGCTTGGGGTGATGCGCCACAAGCAACTCGTACAGCGCGCCGGTGGAGTGAGGCTAGCTTGTTTCTATTTTTAGCGGATATAAACGAAAGGTATACAGGGAGAGCATATTCTAGATCAGGCTGAATAACACCGACAACGAAAGTACGGCCGGCAAACAGGTTCATCTGGCGGAAAGATCGACGCAGTACACCGATCTTCCGTGAGGCTTTCCGGACGACTTTGTTAATGTGTTGGTCAAAGGACAGCTTATTGTCAACAACGACTCCTAAGCATCTGGTGCTTTCCACTTCCCCTAGCGTAACATTTGACAAGGTGATTTGCAGTTGTTGCCTTTGTTGTTGTTGCTGACTCCCTGTGGCACGTTTGGGATGGATTTGCATGACAACGGTTTTCTCGGTATTTTATCTGCATACCAATGGAGCCAAGGTGGTTGTTTAGTATCTCCAGTGCCGATGACAACTTGGCTTTGGAACGCGCCTTCGACGGATCACTAGAGTAGACTGTCTTGTCATCTGCGAACATCAGTAATTTTGAACCCGCTGTCTCCGCAAGCCGGGGAAGGTCCCTCAGGTAGACATTAAAGAGGGTAGGGCCTAAAATACTTCCCTGAGGAACTCCTCGATACACTGCAAGACTTGAAGACTGGCTGGCTTGCGTGACGACACGCTGAGATCTCCCGGCGAGGTACGACGCAAACCAACGCAGGGCGCTTGCATGAACACCCATGCCATGGAGCGCAATGAGTAACTGTTGATGCTGGACGCGATCAAACGCCTTGCTGAGGTCGACAAAGGCTACACTGGTAGTCTCTCCGCGGTCCTGGGCCAGTTTCCAATCATTTACAGCAAGTGTGAGCAGTTGTGTCGTGGAACGAGCTGGTCGGAACGCAAGTTGGTGATCGTGGAGGTGATTTTCGATGGTCAAACTGTCACATACCTGATTTAGAACCAGGCGTTCCAGAGTCTTAGCCAGAATCGACGTCAGTGACACAGGACGATAGTTCGAAGGAGAAGTAGGATCGCCCATACGGGATTTCAATAT